AAGATTATAACTCTAGGATAGGGTAGGCTTCAGACATTCCAGGTAAGCAACCTCCTTAATCAGGGATACATTTTATCTTACAGTGTATCAATGATTACTTTTTTGATTGGCAAAATTTCAAATGGTAAAGGTGAACTGACTTTTTGAAACTTCAATTTTAAATTACTCCAAACAAAATTATGATGGCACTAATGGCGTTTGCACCCATGCTAGTATACACCCAAATGAGAAGAACTGTGGCCCTGTCCTTCTTACTCTCTCAATGCCTTGGTGCTCTCTCAGAAAACCAAAAGACCTCTGAAGGGGTAGAGAGATGGCTCAGTCGTTAAGAGCACTGGCTGTTCTTGCAGAGGGCCAGGGTTCGATGGTCAGCTAACAACAATCATCTATACTTCAGTTTCGGGGGATCCCATCCCTCTCTGACTCCACACTCCAGGAGTTACATACAAAAGACTTATACACACTAAAAAAAAAAAAAAAAAAAAAAAAAAAAAAAAAATAAATGTTGCTTTTAACCACATGATTTTGGAAGCAGATGTACATGCACTATTGTTTTGTTTTTTTGCTAACAACTGTCCATAACTCCAGTTCTAGGGGATCTGACAGCCTCTTCTGACCTCCAAGGACACTGCACGACACGGGTGCACTTACCTACATGCAGGCATAATATTCATACACATAAAATAAAAATATCAAATTAAAAATTAAAAAAAAAAGACCTGTACCATGGCTCAACAGGTAAAGGTGCTTGCTCCAAGCCTGAGGACCTGAATTCAATCCCTAGAACCCACAAGTTGGAAGGAGAGGAACCAACTCTCTTGAGTTGTCCTCTGACCTCCACATGAGTGAATAATAGCCTTGAAAAAAATAAACAGGAGAGTAGGAATGGCTTAAAGAGGGAGAAGCAGCAAAATGAAGGGTGACTATTAAGGGGTGTTTCTTTGGGGAATCATGAAACAGTTCTAAATTAGATTGTGATTGTTGCACAATGCTATTAATATACTAAAAGTCATTGAATTATACATATTAAAAGGGTAGAGTGAATGATTTATGAATTATATCACAATGAAGTTACTTTTTTTTTTCTTTTGGTCTCTTTGAGACCCATCTGACCTGGAACTCTATAAATAGTATGTAGTAGACCAGGCTGACCTTGAACTCACAGAGATTCTCCTGCCTCGGTCTCCTGAGTGCTGGAATTAAAGGTGTGTGCCACGAAGCCTGGCTGAAGCTACCTTTTTTTTAATATTTTATTTGTTATTTTTATTTTATATGTACAACTGTATTGCCTGCATGTATGTGAGTGCACCCATGTCGTGCAATGCCCCGGAGGTCAGAAGAGGGCTTTGGATTCCCCTAGTACTGGAGTTAAGGACGGTTCGTAGCCGCCATGTGGGTGCTGGGAATCAAACCCGGGTCCTCTGCAAGAGCAGTCAGTGCTCTTAACCACTGAGCCAACTCTCCAGCCCTGAAGCTACCTTTTTTAAGACAAGGTTTTCTGTACCCCAGGCTGGTCTTGAACTTGCTGTGTAGCCAAGGATGACCTTAACTGCCTGATCCTCCTGCCTCCACACCACCCAAGTATACGGCCCAAGTACTGGAATTACAAGGGTGATCCACTATACCCAGCTATAAAGCTACTTTTTAAATGGCAGTGTATTCCATTATTAAAGTTAGACATGTAAGGAAAAGTTTTAAATACAATTAAGCTGAAAGCCCACTGAAATAACCCAGCAAGCAAAATAAGGAAATGACTCCTATTGGTTAAATAAACCAGAGTAGATGCACAGACATGGGATTTGAAAAATGAAAACATGGAGCTATTCTTCCTAAGTGATTTAGAATCAGAAGACAATCTGGAATCAGAGGACAATCTGGCTGTGACATCTGTAATACCTCTGACCACCAGCACTGATTCAGGTGATCTGGCTAGATAGGTGGGTGTACCCTGCCTTCTTCACTGCTCTATGTGTGACCCTCCCTAGCTGCAGCTGAAGAACACAACCTCCATCAACATGGGACTTTCTTCAGTCAAGGCTATATGCGCAGCTGGGTTCCCCAGCTACAGGACAGGCCTCAGCATCTTTCAGGTCTTGTTCCAAAATTAGGGCTTGATTAACAAAATAATTATTAAGATGAAGACAAAGGAAAGAGACAGATACTTTCCCAAAAGAATTTCCTAGGCAGCAGCTTGTATATATGTGGATATGGTTGGGTCTTCCTAATTACAATGAAGAAACACATTGCCTTAATGTATATGGGAATCTACCAACATTACATACATGGTTCTAAACTAAAATAAAACTCAAGGAAAAGTCAAGCCACTGTGACTCCTCAAACAAAATGGGATAAAATTAGGAAACTAACTTCATACCATGGAGGGGAAGGCAAAAAGCTACTAATATCTATATTGTCTGTACAATAACTAGAGAGTCAGGTAGCCATGAAGTCAATTTTTTAAGAACAAAAATTTATAAATACATATATTACTCTGGCACCAATTTACTCTTATTCTCTGTTCTTAATCTTTTATTAGAAAATGTATCTTGAGAACAGCTAAGAATCTGTTGCCCTAAAAATATAGAATATCTTGAAACTTGGAAGAAATAGAAAAAGACATTCTATGAAGAGAAATAGAGGAGTTTGAACTTCACAGTTGAGGTTGGTTAGGGAAGATCTACTTTCTTCATTCAACTTGTTTAGTGATTGTGATGAAAAACAAGAGATAATGACAAGAGGAACATGCAGCATAAGGCCTGGAATCTGAATCATCAAGTCTGTGCATGCTGCTGCCTCTAAATGGGATAAGGAAAAAAGGTGAGATCATCCCATGAATATGAGCAGGGACAAGCTAGACTAAAGACAAAGGCAGTGAGTACTATTTGTGTTACAAAAGTTCAACTATTGGGACTTTGAGTGAGACAGTAAGATTTAGGGTTTTCTACCAAAGAAAACATGAAATCAGAAATCCAAATCCTTGGCTAGGAAGATGGATTAGCAGGTAAAGGCGCTTGCTGCCAAGGCTGGCAACGTGAGTTCAATCCTTACTCACATGATAGGCGAGAATCTACTCCTGCAGGTTGTCTTCTGACCTCCGCAATGCATGTACATAGACAAAAATAAAGAAATGCAAAAAATGATTTATCCAGATCCTCTAAAAACAATTCTCTATAGAGAATTAGGAAAAGCAACTAAAATTGATAGCATCATGTAGTAGGACCTGGACGGTTTTATTTTCAGTAGTAACTGTGTCCCATACGGTAAAAGACTCCTTAATTCATGTACTTCCCTTTCCAGGAAAAAAAAAAAAAAAAAAAAAAAAAAAAAAAAAAAAAAAAAAAAAAAACTCAGTGATAATAACAAAGAAAATTTCAGGAAGACTGGGAGAATGGGTAAGATATTTAAACCATAATTTGTATATTCCTAAAGTCAAGATACCAGAAAAATCAATACCAAAATTCAGTTTATACAAATATGTACTACTAGGGCTGGGGATGTAGCTCAGTTGGTAGGGTGCTGGCCTAGCAGGCACAAAGTCCTGGGTTCCATCACCAGTACTGCACTAAACTGAGCATGATGCAGTTTGCCTATAATTCTAGTACTTAAGAAGTGGAAATACTAGCATCAGAAGTTCAAGGGTATTCTCAGCTATATAGCAAATTCAAAGCAGCCCAACAACACACTCACAAAAATATACTACTTCATTGAGGGTTAACATACAAATCACAGCAAACTCAAGTGATGATACTAAATTAAAGTTATTAATTTTAAAAAGTACAGCAATTGCAAACCACAAGCAACTCAAGACATTGATGGTGCTCTAATAAGGAATTCTTCCTAAAAATTCTAGTAATCCCAACTACTCCAGTGGGAGCTTTACTAGATTTCCAATGAAATTCTGCGGCTGAATTTCTTAACACTCTCACTCTGGTAACACTTTAGTTACTTAAAATCAAATAGTTAAAGCCACTAATAGCATACGTAGGAGAATATTAGTAACTGTGGTTTGTTTGATATTTCTTTATTTACTAAAGTGATTTTCAATGTACTAACTGCATGGAGATCAGAATGCATCAGGAGAAAAAAAAAAAAAAGGAAAAATTGGTTCTAGGACACCAGGAAACTGAGGGGAAAGTACCATAACTGAGCTTGATGAATAATTCTCAACAGGAAGTATAGCAGACAGCAATGCCCATCTAAGGCAGAACAAAAGCATGGAAGAATCTAAGGGCTGGGCATTCAAGTCCGCTGAAGAGGACTTCCTGGCATGCTGCAAGACAGTGGGTTCCATCCCCTAGCACCACAAAAAAAGAGAGGACAGCAAAGTGTCTCCATGTAGAGTGCCTTAGCTGGAATCTAGGGACTCACTTTACTTCCTCTTTGACCTTGGGCAAGTTAGTTAATCTCCCTGTGCCTCAGCTGATGAATGAGACCATAACAGTACCCCACGGCAGTACTGCGTGGCGGCTTCAATAGTTATATCCATAATCGTTACACAGAATACCTTGCTCTGTAGATAACAAGTGCCAGGTAAGGAAGCTGAGGAAGGCAGAGGTTTGCTCTGACATCTCCAACCGAAAGCAGGTGTAAGAGCCCAGACAAGATGACTGGGGCGGGAGCTTAGGGCATCTCCAGGACGGTCTCAACATCCCAAGACTGCACCTCGGCAGGGTCGCCCTCCTACAGGGCTCAGGAGAGAGCATTTCCTCCAGGCCCAGGATTTCCAGGGCTCTCGGGACTGTGATGGGCAGTTCCACTGTGAACCAAACCTCCGCCTGAATCCACTGAGGGGCTGCAGAAGGGAGCCGGCTGCCATTTGGGGCAGGCTGACTGCCCCTCTCCACCACCACTCCTCAGAGCGTCTCCAGAGGAGCCTCTGCCGGCGCCAGGAGGGGAGCACACGCAAGGCAGCGCCTAGCCCAAGACCTGGCCGCCCGTGGCTGTCCCACAGCGATGACCGGACCCGTTCAGCCCGCGCCCAGCGGCACGGCCCCAGGTACCTGAGCGTGGGCCCGATGCAGGCCGTGTCGGTGCTCTCGATCTCCCGCAGGATCCGCTCGTGCTCCGACGCCGTCTCCAGGCTCTCTTCCGCCATCTTCCCCCGTTCCATCTCGGGCCCCGCCGCGCCGCCCTCCTTCAGCGCGAACCTCTCACCCACCGGAACGCTCCCTCAGCCCGGGATCGGCTACTAAGATGCCAGCACCCCGCTGTGCGACCCCGCCCTCGGATGCCGCGCCCCCTCGCGTCAGCGCGGCGACAAGCGTAGCGCGCTACCCGCTGGAAGTTGTAGTCCACTGACTGTGGTATTGTGGGGAGTTGTCACCTCATTTGCAGGTTGAATCCTTTGCAACTCTTAAGACCAGGAGAAAAATCCCTAAATTCTAAGCCCTAAAGGACACATATACAGTGACACCAGGTCAGGCAGTGATACTAAGTCTGCACATTTTTACTTAGCACCTTTTCTATAAAGTGAAAAATGTTCTACATGAGCAAATGATTTAAAAAAAAAAAACGTTGAGCTAGACATATACTGACAGCAGACAACAATCTTAAGGAGGAGCCAGAGGGTGAGCTGGAGGATCAAACTTGATGAAAGGCAAAACGTGGCTGAAAGCTGTTCAGAGAATAGAGATCTGTCTGGCTGTGAAGGGTTGCAGAGACAAGACTTGGAAACTTAACAGGTGTGAAGCACACCCAGACAAGATTTAATTTGCACTAAGTTATAAAGTAATAAGAAATGAGGCTGGAGAGAGAAAAAGAAGGAGAGGAAAGGAAGAAAGGTGGAGAAACAAAAAATGAAAGAGAGAGAGAAAAGAGAGGGGGCTGGAGAAATGGGTCTGTGGTTAAGAGCATTTGCTGCTCTTGCAAAGTACAGTATCCAACACCCACATGGCAATAACAACTGTAGAAAACTTCAGTTCCAGGAATCCAATGCCCTCTTCTAGTTTCTGCAGGCACTGCATCTACATGGCGCTCTTACACACAGGCAAAACTCTCCTACATAAAAATACAAATAAATGGATAAAAGAAGGAAACAGAATAAGGAAGAAAGGAGAGGGAGGGAGAAAGAGAAAGAACGTGGAAAGAGAGACAGAGACAAAGAATGAGGGTAGAAACATACCTTAGAAAGAAGATGTGAAGTCCTGACCACAGAGTAAACACTTGTTCTTAATTCTAGTGACCCGTTGAGACATTGCCCATTAATCAGAACCACCTAGAAACACATTCATGCTTCCTAAATACAGACTATTCTGGAAATTCTGATCCAGTCACTTACAGTTAATAAACTCCTCAGAATTCAATTTTTAAATTAGGTTTATTGATCAATGCTGGCACTTTTACTACCAAAATGAATACAAAGCTGTTGAAGATTTTTTTTAGAAAAGAAGACACAGTCAGAACTCCGACATGAGGAAATTAGAGGGCAGCAAGTGCACACGTTGACAGAGATTGAGAATTTGGGGACAAACCGTCTAGGAGATTATCAGGGTTAAACCAGTAAGCAGCATGAGACTGCATAAGAATAAAAAGGAATGGACGGATGGAAAAAGCATTGTAAACAGGGAATTGTCAGGTTTACTGAACACCAAGCACGTTGGACATGATGTCAGCTGAGAACAGCGGAGCTGTCAGTCAAAGAAGATTCAATCTGAAAATTGGAATAAATAACTTGGGCCACAACTATACTATGTTATTGCTGCTTCATTAAAAAGAAAGAGATTTGGGTGTAAAGAGATGGCTCAGCAGGTAAAAGCACTGGCTGCTCTTGCAGAGGAGCTGGGTTCAATTCCAAGCACCCACATAGTGACTAACAATCAACCTTAACTCCAGTTCCAGGGACCCAATACTGTCTTCTGGCTTCCTCTGGCATTTCATGCAGAGGACACTTACATATATACAGGCAAAACACTCAAATGAGCTAATAAAAATTCACATATGGAGCTAGAGGGATAGCTCCATGATTAAAAGCACTTATTGCTCTTCCAGAAGATCTGGGGTCATTTCCCAGTACCCATACGGTAGCTAACAACTGCCCCTAACTCCAGTTCCAAGGAATCCAAAGACCTCTTCTGGCCTCCACAGGTGTTACACGTACATGGTACACTTACATACATACAGAAAAACACTCCTAAAGTAAAAATAAATAAAATCTTTAAAAAAACACTTTCAATTTACATGTATACTTTTATTATAAAATATTACAGAGGTTAAATATTTCTGGAAAGATATGCACAAAGCTGTGAAGAGTAGTAGCACCAGAAAAATTTAAAAGCTCTGAAGTAGGAGGAAATTCACTTCATATCCCTAGTTTCCTATGTCCATTGCTTCCTCAAAAACTAGTACTTATTAAGTAGAAATGCATATTAACAATGAACATACCAGTAGTGAGGAGAACAGGTGACAAGTCTTGGTTTGTAGGAAAAGGCAAGTTGCTAAACCTGTCTGATTCTACATAATCCCTGGCTGTCCTCATTTTATCCCATTAGTCATGCTTTAAAACTTTCCCACAGATGCAGAGGGTAAGGAGAATACAGAACCTTTCCTATTTCTGAAGATCTCTTGATATCCATGTCACAGGCCCCTTTGGATCCCCAGTTTAGCATCACACTCAGCAAAAAGCTTTTCCAGCTGGACTATAAACAACCAGGTCTGTACAGTAGAGGTCAAACCTGCTTCTACCAAGGCCAGCAGAGTTTTTTGTTGTTTTTCAGAAGTACCAAACAGGCCAGAAGTCCAATATCTTGCAATAAGTATGTGAGCCCAAGCAACTGGTACAGAAAGATCCAGTAAAGATGGGCTGTCTGCACTGAGTTCTTGCATGCAATGACCACGTTATGTCCAGAAGGCAGCATTTCAAAGCACTCCTTCCCATCCTCTGGCTCTTACGTTCTTTCTATACCTTCTTCTACAATGTTTCCTGAGCTTTGGGAGGCTGTTGCTTGATAGAGATGCCCCATTTAGAACAGCACACACAGCACTTGATAGTCATTTAGATGGAGGTGGAGGCAGGAGGAACAAGAGTTATGGTAATCCTCTTCTATATAAGAGTTAGAGACCAGCCTGGACTACAAGAGACTCTGTTTCTAAATAACTAGATAGTTGATAGAAATATAAATAGGTATATAGACAAATTATATAGATGCTAGACAAATGAGACCCTGTCTCTAAATAAAGAGATAGCTGATAGACACATATACAGATACATAGACAAATTAAATAAAGAAATAGATAGACTGATAAATGAGACTGCCTCAAAATAAATAAATAGATGAGGGGCTGGAGAGATGGCTCCGCAGTTAAGAGTACTTGTGGCTCTTGCAGAGGACCAGGCTTCTGTTGCCAACACCCACATAGTAGCTAACAACTGTAAGTCCAGGTGGGAGGAATCTGACACCCTCTTCTGGCCTCTGAGATCAATACATACACATTGTGTACTTACTACATGCAGGCAAAACACTCATACACAAAAAATAAAATTAATTAATAAATCTTTTTAAATGGATTGAGAATACGTCTCAGTGGTATCACACTTACATAGTGTGGGTGAGTCCCTGTATAAGTTCCACCCCAGAAATGCAAAACAAATTAACTTTAAGGGGATAAAGCTCCATGGCAGAGCACCTGCCTAGCATGCATGAGGCCCTGGGTCTAATCTCCAGCACTGCAAAAGAGAAAAATAATAATAATTTAAAAAATACAGAACCGGAGTATACCTCAATTGGTACAGTGCTCACCAACCTAGCATGCATGATGTCATGGATTCAGTTTCCATCACCAAACAAACTGGAGCTACAACCACATGTCTCAATCTAGGAATCCAGATGTAGAGACAGGAAGATCAGGAGGTCAAGATTATCTTCCACTACCTGTGGAGTTAGAAGCCAACCTGGGCTTCAGGAAACTCTGTCTCTACATACATACACACACACATACATACATACACACATATACATACACACATATGTTGTTGAATTTATATCAATTCTTGAATTTTTCCTGGGTGTTTCGAATGCAAACGTGTCACACAAGGCATGATGGCGGATGCCTTTAATCCCAGCATTCTGGAGGCAGAGGCAGGCAGATCTCTGTGAGTTCAAGGCCAGCCTGGTCTGTATAGTGAATTCCAGGCCAGGTGGGCTACAGAGAGGTCCTGTCTCAAAAAAAAATCCTCAAATGCAAATGTGTCAAAAAAGTTTTCTTTTTCTCTCTCACTTCATGTGGAGGTTTGAATGACAATGTACACTATAGGCTCAAATATTTGAAACTTGGTCCCCATTTGGTGGCGCTGTTTTGGTTAGGAAGTGCAGCCTTGTTGAAGAAAGTATGCCATTGGGGGTGGATTTTGAGAGCTCATAGCCTTCCCCCACTTCCAATTTACTCTCTCTGCTTCCTGCCCTGCTTGAAGATGTCAGTGCCCAGCTTCCTGCTCTGGCCATCACTGTCTTGCCTCCCATTATGGATCTCCCTTTGGAATTCTAAGCCAAAATAAACTCTTCTACATGTTGCCTTGGTCATGCTGTTGTATTACACCAACACAAAATTAACTACTGTACTTCCCAAACATGTCTAATTAATAACAACCAGGCATACCCACCAGAAGACATTCTAGATCATTCCTTTCTCTCATCTCCTCCCTCTAACAGACAATCAAGTCCTGCTAATTTTCCAATCTGCTCACTCTTCTTTGTCTCCTCTGTCCCTTCTCTAGTTCAGGTCCTGGCAGCTATATCAGATCCATGATAACCAAACCATCACCTCTATTCTGGATACTGCTTTGCCAATGTTCATTCCACAGGAACAGCACCTTCATTCTGTAAGACTCCTCTCCAGAGTCACCTCTCCTCTGTGCAGTTTCTTGTATGATCTAATTTTCCCTCTAGGCTCAGCCTCCTGAGTATACCCAGAAGCTCCCGTGTGACATTTCCCAATGTCTCTCCCTCAGGACATCTCTGTCCCTTACAGTAAAGGAGCTAAGAGACCGAGTTTGGTGTCAGATTGTCTAGATTTGATCAAGTCTACCAGATGTGTGTTTTATATTCTCTCCAAGTTGCTTTGCCAAAATACCTGACAAACGGAAAATAAGGGGAGAAAGTGTTTATTGTAGCTCATAGTTCCAGGTTACCATCCCTCATGGTAGGGGGAAGGTAGGGGGAGGGATTCAAAGCATCAGGAACTTGGAGTAACTCCTCACATCACCTCTACAGTCAGAAGAGAGCAATGGATAAA